ACGCACACAATGAAATGTTAACAATTTTTCGATTATTAATGAACTCATGTTCGATGAATATATCACTGACAATGTGTAAATAGAGTCAAATAACTGAGCTTGTTTTGAGTTGTCTGTGCTAAAGGTGTATTAAAAAAAGTAATATAGTAAGTTGGTAAAATAATGGTACAATAAAATAATTTAATATTGGTATATTAGTACATCCATGCAGAAAATTAATGAAATAGTGAAATAGTAGAATTCTAGTAAAATTCTAAAATTCTAAAATAGTGAAATAATGGTCAAAATAATAAAAGAATAAACTGAATAAAATAATGAATAATTTAAAAATTGGATCATAGATACATTTTAATATAATACGATAAACTTAAAAACTAAAGCAATAAAACAGTGAAATAATAAATCATGAAAGCAGTACAGCTGTATAACAGTAACTTAATAAAATAGTAGAATAATGGAATACTCAAACACAAAATTGCAAAAATTGTAAAGTAATGGAATAACATAATTTTGAAGTTGCATCATGTGCACGTAGTAACACAATAAAGTACTAAAATAATAAAATAGTAAAATAGCAAAGCACCAAAGTAGCAAACCAATAAACCAATAAAAGAACAAAACACGAAAGCAGTAAACCAATAAACCAATAAAATAATAAAATATTTATACAAGAGTATCCCTCCTTTTAAAAATACTTTCAAAGAGACCAAAACTGCTCTCTCGTGCAAAATAGTAAAACAATCTAGAATACTTGCTAAATCGTATAAATAAGGAAGAAAGTACCGTACAATCAGATTATCTTACGTTACCGTTATTAGTAATTATCGTGGTACTATCAATGCCAGAGTATAACTTGCAGTTACCCGGTAACATCTTCGAAAACTTCGGGAGCAGAAGTTCGCGAAAGTTGGACGCGAAACTAGGATAATGAAACCAGAAGTAATCTTCGTTTTCTTACATAAGGTGTTACGTTTTACGCCTCAGTTTCAGCTTGCATCGGCGAATAATATCGTGGGTTTCTCATTTTTTCTTTACATTTTTCTTAACCGCGAAATGTAGCCACGCGGTTTCACATAACGCTACATGAATCATGGTTGCTTTAATTCGCGTTATCATTTGCGAGATAATCGCTTCGATCAGTAACGAGACAAGGTCAACCAATCACGACTTGACAAGAAGGTTATTTATATAGACGGTGAGCCGCAAATTAATCAAAACAAAACATCATGTTAGGAATAATAGAGAAATTAATTTAAATTCATTTTTTATTTTTGTCTCAGGATTTTAGGGATTTTAGGAATTTAGGGAGTTAGGGAGTTAGGGAGTTAGGGATTTGGGGATTTGGGGATTTAGGGATTTAAAGATATAGGGATTTGGGGATTTAGGGATTTGGGAATTCAGGAATTTGGAAATAATAGGATTTGAAAATTTAGAAATTTGAGAGTTTAGGAATTTTCGAATTTCAGGATTTGGAAATTTAGGGATTTGGAAATTTAAAGAGTTAGAAACTTGGGGATTTGAGAGATATGAGAATTTAAGGATTTGGAAATTTTAATACTTGAGAGTTTAGAAGTTTGAGGGTTTAGAAATTTTTAATTTTCAGTATTTGGGTTATTGGGGGATTTGGAAATTTGAAGAGTTAGAAATTTGGGGATTCGAGTTTAAAAATTTACGACTTTCCAAATTTGTATATTTGAGGGTTTGGGAATTCACAAATTCACGAAACTAAAAATTAAAAAAATGGAGAAATTTGTTCTAGTAAATATTCGTAGCTACAAAAATTTAGAAGCATAAATCCTTAAAAATATAAAAATTGAGGAACATAGAAATTCTTAAATTGAACTATTGACTGGTAACTTGGTGACCGCAGTTGCCCGTCGCTGCTTTGACTGGTAGTCATTTAACGCGCGGTTACTTAAGGGAGGACCATCAAACACATGACACTGCATTTTTCAGAAAAAACCCTAATTATCCTCATAGTTAACTTTAATATAAGTATGTTTTATCAGAAATTCAAATTTTTGGAACACTTACCTGAGTAAGTGTGACCCTAACCTGACACTTACGGTTACAAGTAATAATGAATTGGGCCACCAAATATCTGATTCCTCAATTGAAACACTATTGAAAGTAACCGTCCCCGAATCTGTCTTCAAATATCTGAATGGTTAGAATGTAGGTGTCACCCGTTACACTCAGTTGCAAGCAACGTACCGATAACGTTATCGCTGATGCACCTGATTTTTTACATCGATCAAGGCTTTTTGACGTCACTCTCATGAATATTCGTCCTAAAATATGAATTAAAAATCCAGTTTTTCGAGGGATCGCTCGGTCATCGATATAGGTCAACCTTTGACCGAAAAAATCCCTCTGAAAAAATGAAAATCAGCATGCAGTCTCGAATACCCGTTACTATCCACATGTGGGATCTACGGTGGTGAATCGTACCCCTAGACCACAGGCTGACTATTAGAAAACGTGCTAAATCTAAAAGACTACTTTGAACGTGTTATCACTCGCGTTTCAACCGCTTCTCACAATGGCGGATTTTCTACGCTTGACACTTTCTATGTGGTACCAGTGTATTTTACTGGAGTTTCAACTCGTATTTCGTACTAAATATCGGCCTGCGTGGCCTCATTTCTATTTAAATATATTTTACGTATACCTATTTTGTATTTGAATTGTTGTAACAGAATAATTTGTGTTTAAATTGTGATAAAAGAGTAGTTTGTGTTTGAATTATAATGTCAGAGTATTTTGTGTTTAAATTATAATTATAGGATATCTTGTGCCTAAATCATGATAACAGAGTATTTTGTGTAAATCATAACAACAGAACATTTTGTGGTAAAAATTATAATTCTAGAATATTTTGTGCTTAAATTATGATAACAGAGTATTTCGTGTTTAAATTATAACAACAGAACATTTTATGGTAAAAATTATAATTATAGAATATTTTGTGCTTAAATTACAGCAACAGAACATTTTGTGTTAAAAATTATAACAACTATAACAATATTTTAGGTTTGAATTGCAATGACAAAATATTTTGTGTTTACATTATAATATCAGAGTTTTCTCTGTTAAAAATTTATGTGAAATGAATGAAATAAAATTACGTGACTTTAAGAGAATATTTGTATATTTTTGGATATGTTAAGCTTGTTTAAAGAATATTGTATTTTGTGAGAGCAAAAAAGTTGTAATTTATGGTGCACAATTTATTTTTTTATAGTGCAAAATATGTTCATTGTAATTTTGCATGTAGTGTCATATGTGCTTGTAATAATTTTGTTTATAATGTAAAATATGATCGTTCTAATTTTTTTATAGTGTAAAATGTGTTCGTTATAAATTTTTTATAGTCTAACATGTGTTCATTATAATTTTGTTTATAACATAAAATATATGTTCGTTACAATTTTGTTTGTAATATGCCAATATCAAATATGCCATTTTGTATTATAATTAAAATAAAAAATTAGTCAAGGTGAAAAAGTTAATTTGTATAATTTTACGAATATTAAAATATCAGAAGTATTTAATAAAAATTGTTCTGTGATTATTGAACGAATGAAAAGAAATGGTAAATGTGATTCTAAACATATATGTTTTTGTATATCTTTGTAGTTTATGTTTCATATCGTCCCACACTATAAACATAAAGAATTTTACGGTGAAGTGTCAGTAACTCAAACTACGTCATTCTATATTGTTTTCTCGTGTACGACACATTTTCACAGGTTGATAAAAGTAATAATTTGATACCATATCAGTTTTGACCTTGTTATGTAACAACAATTAATTTTATCATGCATGGTAATTTAAGTTTTAAATTTTTTAATATTTGTTGCAAATTTAAAATTCCACATAAAAACGAATATTATTAGTACACTTTTTTTAGAATATGTTTTTCTGTCAATTTAGGTTATAGCATTCTTTCTTTAAACATTGCAGTTATGAAAAAGAATTTCAGGTATTTGCTTAATAACTTTTTCGTAATAACCATATAATTTGGAAATTTCTAATTTTAATTAAATTTGAAGAATCGAAAACTTGTAATTTTTAATTTAGAAATTAATAAACTTGAAAATATTTGAGTTTGAAAATTATTAGTTTACAAATATGAAACCATCGAAATTATAAAGTTTAAGAATGTGAAGATCCCAGAAATTAAAAATTGAGAATTGAAAAATTTACAAATGAAATGAAATAAACCTAAATTTCAAATTTACAAGTATATCAATATTAAAACTTCAAAATTTCCCAGTACGAAAATTAAAACATTTCTGAATTTGAAAATTTATAAATTTCTACCTTATATTTATAAATGTTATAAATTTATAAATTTACAATACAGAAACTATGAAGTTACAAAATTTGGATATCTCTGAAATTAAAAATTGTAAAGTTCCTAAATTTATAGATTAACACATGTAAACCCAAATTTTAAATTTACAAGTACATCAATATCAAAACTTAAAAATCTCAAAGTTCGAAAATTAATAAATTTCTAAATTTCTAAATTCTAAACTCCAGGTACAATTGTCTCTAAACTCAATTATCATTCAAGAATTTTTATCATAATTCCCTATCAGTTTCTATATCAGGTCATAAAAGATAAGGAATCTTACCTGTAAAAATCACATTAGTTACACTCTCCTCTATACATAGATAAACTACTACTTTCTAACGACAATCTCTAATCGTTAATTGCTTGTACATTTCTCGACCAGCTAAACTTTTTCGTGTGTTTACAAAACAAGACCCGAGGACGACTCATCGAGTCAGCTTCGATCTATTGTCGATTCATCGATTTGGCGCTGCTTTGAGTCATTGTTGGCGGAAAATATCGTAACAGTAGGGTCATCGTGTTATCAGTCGAGAACACAGTCAACGTATTGGTAAGAATTGGTTGCATTCCTACTGTTCGAATATTTGTTTAAGTCATATCGAAAACAAACACCGGCATTCATCACCGGATGAACCATGGTTTTAGCTGGAGGGAAAATGTGGCATGGGTCAGTGCTTGCTCGAATGTTGAACATCTCGAACGGGATGAAATTTTGTTGCCAAGAATATGTCGTTAAACTGTAATTCGATTGATCACCGTATTAAACGTTCTTCTCTTCTCTGAAGACTATTCTGTAAAGTTTGTGTTACTGTGCGCGTTAAGTGAAGTTATATTTTTCACTTGTGAGTGAAAATTTAATTGAAAATTGATTAATTTATAACAATTCCTGTTGTGAATTGTAGTGACATTTCAAGTGTTCCAAGGTTCAAGTAAAGGTAATGTGCACAGTGTTTCAATTGTATCCACACTGTGAATTTTAATAATAAACTACAAAACCCATTTTCATTTAACCTATTCAGAATATTTTTATTTTAAATTACAAAATTTATTAAGATACTTTTCTTCAAATGTGTTACTTGCTATCAGGGTGAAGAATTAATGTATGTATTAATTTATATTGTGACATTTATTTATTTATTTTTCTATTTTAATTTTTATTTCAAAATTATTATTTTATAAATTATTATAGGCTGGTAGGATTACTATTAATTTCAGAGTTCGGTGTTAATTTTTAATTTGATTGATTAAGAAGTTTGTGATAAAAGATCAAGAGTGATTTTATCGACTGATGGGAATAATCGTCATGTGCTGATTAAACGCTACTAATTATACACAATTGTGTAGATTCTGTAGAACGATCGTTTGAAATATTAATCGTTAATTAGTTGATAGTTTTTTATTGAAATTTGATTAAAATTATTCTTGATGCAGGTTCAAAATTTGTGCTAATTATTTGATATAAATTGTGCTAGTTGATAGAAATTGTAAGTAAGAATTATTTTCAATTTTGTCATTTTAATTAATTATAGATTGAAAATTGTAGGTGTAAAAATGATAAAAAGTGTGCTTTAAGTGCTAATGTATTTATTTATGGAATTTTATTATTTATTCATGTTTATTTTATGTTTCGTTTAATATTTCTTTTGAAAAATATTTATTGAACAATACGTGTAGCTTTGTGAATTTATAAATTTATAAAGTAATACGTTTTTAAATTTGCAACTTTAAGTATTTCTAAATTTCTACATTTCTATGTTTTTAAATATGAAAATCAACTATTTTGAAAATTTTTAAGTTTCTTTTTTATGAAATTTGAGAGAAATATCGAAAATTTCTATATCTGAGAATTCATAATTTTATTAACGTTTAAACTTGATAATTGAAATTCTTCAATTTTTAAAGTCGAAGATTTTTCAATTTTCTACCTATAAATACGTAAATTTCCAGAGTTAAAAATTTGAAAGTTCAAAGTTCAATACTATGTAGCAAGTGTCGCGAAACCTTGTATTTAACATAAAGTGTTTATAAAGACTGAAGTTTTCTAAAGAGCAGATCCATGTCTTCGCTTATAAATAACAATGAGATAAAACGATTACGAAGTATTCTTCACAAAAATAGAGCAGTACTAAAACAAGTTGACGAAATAGGAAGTAGAACTACTGACCTCGATTCGGTCAATGGTTAATCGAGTTGATTAAATAACTAATTTTATCGTTAACCCTTTCGTAACGACACACTTTCTCCGAAAATCATACATTGTAGACTGGATAGCAATCTCAATTCTACCATAGAAATTATTTATGTTAGTTAAAAATTAAAATCAATTAACCACAAAATTAAATTTTTATTCTCAAGCAGACGAAATTTCAACTAACGAATATAAAAGAATCATTTATTGAAGTCCAGTATAAAAATGAACTTTCTATCGTCAATTTGATCAATTTCAGAAATCAATCTTTAATTCTCAATTAGAAAATCGATTGGTGGAAAATTAAGTTTTTGAATTAAAAATTATCTAGTTATTAATTAAATTCAATTTGAACTGTTTGATTAGTTACGAAATTGAATTAATTATTTAATTTTTAAAGAAAACTATTTGAAATTATAAGCAACACGTATAATTGGTCACAACAAACAGTATTGTAATCATACTTCATATGTTATAATAATTGCATAAGTGGACGAAAATACGACTATGCTTGTTACCGGTCAACCATACGATAAGAAGTGTATAATTAATAACACAAAATCGATGAGGTCAAATTAGTAAAGTCGAAACATAATGCAAACAAAAACATTTTATAGCATAGTAAAATCGTGATACACCATTTTTGACAATTTTTAGTTACGAGTAATGTTCACTTATTTAAAAAAAATTAGCAACCAATAAATTTTGTACAATTAAGTAAACATAAAAAATAAAGAATAATTTACTTAAGGCATTATACGATATACTATATAGTAATTATATTATATTACTTAAGATATGATAAACGTATGACCTCATATTTTACACGTGCATTTATTGAAAAAGAAAAAAACATTGTCATTTATAAAAACTTAGCAACGAATCAATTTTATAAACTTAAGCAAACATTCAACATAAAAGTAAAGAGTAAATTAATATTAAAGTATGATAAACGTATGACTTTATACTTCATACATGCATTTGTCAAAGAAAATATTGCCTCAAAAAATATTTTTGCAACATACGAAAAACACATTATTTGCCATACGATATCAAATTAATTTAAATAAATAAAATTCGTATTCTCACCGAAAAGTATGATGTATTATAACAAAAAATAAAAAATTTGCTAATTTAATTCTGGTTGAAGAAAGTAAAAAATATGAGTTATCAATAAAAATAAATAAAAATAGTAAAACTAATACAGAATAAATTACTAACGGAGAACATTCTAGTCTCCAAATATTTATGAGAGCCACTGTATCAATGTACAACAAAGTAACCTAATTTTCTGACCAATCAAATTGTCTTCCACTTTAAAAATCTTAATTGTATGAAATTATTGCTTCATGTAATTAAATCGGTCACAAAATCCTATCAGCTAATCTCCAGAAGACCACACAAGATGGCTCTTCTTCCCAAAATCCGATAAAGTCCGATCGAATTAGAAGAAAAATGAATTTCACGGTAATTTGTAACTGTACGTGCGACGTCACAAGGAGGAATTAACGAACTAGAAGCGAACGTCAATCGAATTGACCGCTTCACGACGAAGACGCGAAAGCCGGTCGTACGCTTATTAAATTAGTGTCTCCATGACGACCGGTGGTCAAGGAAATCAGTATTTCGTAGACAGTTGAAGTGACAGCGTCTGTTACGACTGTCAAAACGGCACAAAAGGTTAACGAGAGAATGATGACACCGAATCGGGTATCTCGCTGGTGAAAACGGTGCCGGTCTTTTTCGCGGGAAAAGGCGATTCATCGACGAGCTCCATGCTCGCCAAGATCGTACGATTATCGTTCGTTTAACATTCTTGGATATCGAATCTTTGTCACGTCTTCGTCGTCGATACAGAAGCCGACCAAGTGTACGTATAATGGCTTACTCGTTGCTGAATACCTCGTGCACGTTCGTTGATCGAAGATACGCGTTTTCGTTGTTCCATATAATGGTTTCGGTATTTTTATCGGGGACCAGGTGCGCCGAATTTTATTGTGCCTCCGGTATCGAAGAATGTACATACTGTATCTGTGTTGCGTCTTTGATTTAGGTGGAAATTTAACGAACAGATCTGTAACGAGTTATAATATGTTATGTCAGTGCTTCTTTTATGTAGAAAGGAATTTTTCGGAAATATTTTAGAAAAATGAGAAAGTTAGCATCATTTAAAATTCCCTCTTTTGTTACATACAGTAAATCTACATTTTTGTCTAATTGGAAATTGTATACGAACAGGATATGTGTGTAACGAGATATAATATTCAGACAGAGTCGATGTTTTCTCTTGTGTAAAATGGAAATCGATCTTTTCGAAATATTTTAGACAAAATAACGAATTTAACATGGTTCAAAATTTTTTTCTATGTTACATACAGTGAATCCAAGCTAAATCGTTCGCTATGCATCTTTGATGTAATTGGGAATTGAAGTATACGAACCGGACATATGTGTAACGAAATATAATATTCAGGCAGAGTCGATGTTTTCTCTTGTGTAAAAAGGAAATCGATCTTACCGAAACATTTTAGACAAAATAACAAATTTAACATGGTTCAAAATTTCTTCGAATATTTCTTCTTTACATACGGGGAATGCAGGCTAAATCGCTGGCTATGCTGCATCTATCATTTACTTTAGTTACAAATTCAAGTGTATGATCAGAACATATCTGGGAAGACATAATATTCTGTTTGTGTTGATGCTTTTTTTATGTGAAAGAGAATATGTATTTTTTTAAATATTTACAAAATGCATTTTACTATATTTTCAAGTTTTTTTAAATAAACAATTCTTCTTTTCTGAATGTAAAAGAGGTGTTGATTAAAATTGTACGCCACATTGTATCTCGTTTGATCTAATTGAACGTTGAAGTGTATGAAGGTGACAGCTTTGTAACACTCCTTACAGATTTCTGTTTGTATTGTTGCTTTCTTTTATGTAAAGAGAAAATCGAAATTTTCCAGGTAATTGACATCACTGCAAGTATTAGTAGTTTAGAGATTTGATGATTTAGAGTCTAAATTTAAACATTTGGAGATTTAAGAATTTTAAAACTTTCAAACTAAAAATTTTGTAATTTTCAAAATTCCAAACTAAAATTTCAAGCTAACAAAAATTTAGTAACTTAGAAATTTAAAAAACTGCACATCTTGCGCGAGGTTTCCCATTTATACTAATCTAGCATACATTTAATATACATTTAACATAATCTAGCATAAATTTATTTCCTATAAAGCATGAATTTAATTATCAAATTGTGTAATATTGAATTAATTTAGTAACATGAATTTCATATTTATTCACAAATATCGACAATAAATTTAGATGAATTAATATCAATAATTAATAAATCATAAAAGTATGTATGCATACCGAACAATTTGTAACTGCATATACAGGAAATAATAATTTATTATTTTCCAATAAAACGGAAATATAACACCAAGCTCATACAAAAAAGGCCATAATAACGAAACGGGAAATGTAAATAAACTGTAATCACGTTTTCAGTGTCATTGATATTACAAAAAACAATTTTTATTTAAATGAGCAACATTTTATTACGTTACCTTTGTGTCGGATAATACTGTATATTTAATTGCATCTAATTATCAGTTGAAAGATTAATTAATCGAGTATATCCACATAGGATAATAAATTCAATGATACTTTTGACATAACCTCTACAGGGAGAAATTTTTAATTTCAGTTATAATGAGTTATTATTATAAGGATTAATTTTATTTTGATTTATTATTGCTCAGTCAAGAAAATTCAATATAAAAGTATAAATTTTAGAATTTCAAAAAATAACTATAAATAAAAAAATGTGGACGTTTAGTACACAAAATCTAATATGATTTTTTTGGAAACATCGGCAAATACCAGTGAATAGTGTCATGAATATATTTTTATAGCTAAAAATTATTTTTTCCCTCTAGAGTCGTAATATTTCAGTAAAACTACGACTTACTTCGCGTAAGGAAAAAACAGCGCTGCTGCTTCAATTGTTTTTCCGAACATGTAAGTACAAGTTGTGTTTTAGAAAGGGTGCTTGTACCACCATTACAGACATGGTGCAACCGCCATTTCTAGATGAATGAATCTTAATGGAAAAATAAGTAAAAAAAAATAAAATTTGTTTGTAAAAAACTTTGTTCACAATGTAGAAAATTATAAAATCCACAAATTTCGTAATTCTACATTACATAAATATTAGAAATTAACAGATATAATTGTTAACATTAGAACCACCAACATTAAATGCTCGTTTATCGAAGAATAAAAGATAAAATGAAAAGGGAAATAAATAAATACTAAAGCATAAAGTAACATTTAGAACTAGTTTTTACCTCAACAAAATATGGCACACATTTCCATAAAATAACGACAATAAAATATTGTAATATAAAATGAGAAATCTGAAGACAGTCATTTTTCACTACTGCTTGGTAGTTCTAGTGTTAGTATTGCTAAAATGAGATTTTTAGATTTGTTAGGTTTGTTACTTATATGTTCTTATCATCCCCTAAATTCATAACATTAAACATTGGTATCTACATGAATAATGTTACAAAGAATGAATGATAACAAACTTTAGTAGTATTAATAATTAGATTTATTTGTTTATTAACATTCATGACGTAATTTTCAAAGTAATGAAATGTTGTATTTATTACTTTACGTGTCATGAAAAAATTTCTTTTATAAATACTTTAAAACTGTTCAAATTCAGTTTTTTTGAAAATGAATGACATGAAAAAATTGTATTCTATGTTTTTGCCTTATTTTTTCATGCAGATTCGCCCCTTTTTTCGGTCTTACCATCATTTCGAAAACACCCTGTATACAAGATATTTTCATTTCCTTTATGACTATTGGGATTTATTTTCCGGTTAACAAATTCTGGAAATATTTTACACGTATTTTTGTAACGATTTTGAAAACTGAATGTTAGCTTTATTTTTTGTTTGACTTTAGACAAGGTTGCACATGTATTTTTGTAACGACTTTTGGAACAGATTGTTTGCTTTATTTTTTGTTCGATTTTAGGAAAAGTTGCACAGGTATTTTTATAACGATTTTGGATATAGATATAACTTTGTTATAATAAAGTTAACTTATAATAAACTACCTGTTCATTAATGTCCAAAGACGTGAAAGTGTTAAACGATTGTATACAGCTTAAATTTTGATTACACTCTTGTTTATGCAATATATTTGCTTTATGTCACAGAGTTAATCTAACAAAACCAAATAATATATTATTCCATCCATATATACTTACATGTGTGTGTATTTCGAAAACATTTAATAAAAGTTATTAGATTTCAAGCGAATGGACAATTTTATTAAGGAATTATCAAATATTGGATTTCTATTTCGGGTCAATTTAACATGGTCGATGCACGAAAACCGAGAAAAATATGAATTGTTAAAAATTATTAATTAACGTGGTACAAATATTTTTATCATTGTAGATTATCTGTGATTATCTCTTGCCATCAAATACAATTTGTTTGTAGAAATCAATGTCAAAATCGTGTTAAACATTCATTTATTTTAAATTTGAAGATTAGGGAGTTAAAAAATTTGAGATTCCAAACTGGAGATTTAGAAATTTTGTACTTCAGGAATTTTTTAAATTTCGGAAATTTAAGAATTTAAGAATTTGGAAGAATTACTATAGGAATTTGATCATTTGAAACTTAAAACTGTTGTGTGTTTGGGAGTTGAGGAATTTGGAAATTTACAAAGGGGAAAATTTGGAAATCTACTAATTGAAGGACTTGAAAATTTGAGAATTTAAGAATTTTGAAAATTTATGCATTGAGAAATTTGAAATTTGATGAATTAGGAAATTTGGAAAAATTTGGTATTTGGGAGTTCCAAAATTTGAAACATAAAGTTTGGAAATTTGAAAATTTTAAGATTTAGAAATTAGAAAATTTTTGAACGGAGCAACATAGAAATTTTTTAATTTAGGAATTTGAGAATTTGGAAATATAAGGATTTTGAAAATTTATGTATTTGGGAATTTGGAAATTAAGGAATTTGTAAGATTAGAAATTTGAGAATTTAAAAATGAAGAAGTTCGATATTTTAAGAACTTGGTAATTTGAGAATTCAAAAAATTGTAAAAAATTTGTAAATTCAAAAATTTCTAATACTAAAGATACTAAAGAAAAATTATAAGACATTATAAAAATGTCCATTTCTATTGCGACATTTAACGTGTTCAGCAAATGGCGTCTTCCCTTATATCGTTCATTTTTTACCGTAAACAGACAATCGAGGACAAACTTTCTTTTCTCTGTTGATCATGGTGGAGAAACAGTGTCAGATGGATATGGTAAATGTAAATTAGGGGAATGAGAGTTTGTGACGTGATTGCATCGTGAAAGTGGAATAACATGGTATGTACTGGGAAAACATCGATTCAAGTTTGTATCGTGTGTTTATTCAATAAAATCGAATTCCATTGATAATGTAGTATCGTTTCTTCGTGATAAGAAAGACCAAGTTGAAAAACATCAATTATTTAAGATAAGCGACATTAACGGTGCTAAAAAGTTCTCTTTAATGTTATTTCTGTGAGATTTCATTTAAATAACCATATATGATATACTGTTTCTTACTTATAATAATAAAAGTATTAACAAATATTTATATGAAAGAATAAAATAATTTTTATTTTAAATGTTGAGTGAGTAATGACAAAATTAATTGTAATTGTCAAGTCAATAATTGTAAAGTTAAGGATAGGTCTATATTTTCTAGGAAGAATATGGCGAACAAAGGAAAAAATTTTTCCACTCGTTGATTTTTAGGGACTTTCGAGAATTTAAAAATATCCATAATTGCTTAAGGAATAATTATTAAATTAAGAACAAATTTAGCTATTTTAGGAAAAATATGATAAACAAGGGAAAGAGATTTTCCACTCTATTTTCAGAGATCTGAGTATTTTTCTAGGGATGAGCAATTTCGTCAAAACAGACTTTGAGACTTGTTATAATATGAATCCAGGAATTTAGCAACTGTTAATTATTAACAATTATTATTTAGTATATAGAAATCAATCCAACACCCTTAAAAATATAAGGAAATTTAACACAAATTTTCCACTCCTTAAAAAAAAAACACTCTTAAGTACTAAATGCTTTAAGTACCGAATAAAATCATGGTTTAATTCCGTTTGTTTCAGATTAAGTTTAATGCATTGTTAAAGCTGATAGAAAAAGAAGCTGTTCCAAGAAAATCTATTCAGAATGTTCTGTCTAAAAGGAAGAAACAATACCGACGGAAGATTTAAAGAAACGTCAAGGGAGGACGATTTCGGTTGGTGGATAAATAATGAAGACGATTTCAAGTCTCCTCGATCCAATCAGACCAGAGAATGTCAATCCCTAGGATCCTCGGAGTCGATGCTTTCTTGTGTCGATTCCGACGACAGCGAATGCTATTTTCTTGCACAAGAATTCAAGGATGATTACAACGATAACTGCGAAAAAATAGAGCTTACATCTTTGATTCATCAGGATCTGGACGTCGATCTTATTGAAAACGATGCGATCGCGAAGGAAGAGGTAAATTGATACAGTTTCTATTCTTTTAATAAAAATAATAAAATAATATAAAAGTATGAAGAGATGACCAAAGATTAATATTTATGTGTATATACACATTTAGATACAAAATTTTAAGGATTTTATATTATTATGATTGGTTAAGTTTGTATTTCTATGATCTACGGTAACATCTTTCAAATTGCTATGTTAATTTTTGTCTTCTATGTTTTGTCAAATAAAGACAATATTTTAAAATTAAATATCATATATACGCAGTTGATTAAAATTATTATTGGATATTGAAAGAAAATTTGTTAGAACCAATGCGATTGAATGACCGTTTCACAAATTTATTTTATATTTGTTCAGATTGATAAAGAATTATATGTATATTATTAATTTATGTCTTATAGTTTATTCATTTGCTTTTAAATATCTTTTAACACATTTGTGGACAGTGAAAATTTCAATGAATTGTAAAAATAGGCAATTTTCTCGCGTCAAACGACCATTTTCTTGTGTAACGCTTCCAATTTACACAAAATGGCGGCTCAAGCAAAGTCAATACACAGGGGAAGGTAAAATAGTATTAAAATGCCTAATGAATTAGCTGATTACTTTAAAATGCATAATAACTACAAAAACTAGTGGTCATATAAAATACTGAAGTGAATAACAATAAAAATTTGACTATTCATGTTGTTTTGTAAATAAATTTTTATCATAAGCTATAACATTCACAGTCCGCGAACGTGTTAGTTTTAAAGTAAATACACATTATACATCGTTAGATAAACTACCAGTATTATAAACATATAAATATACTAAACTACCAGTTGAAAGATTAAAACACACAAAAATCTAATTTAATTGCAGGGTGTCACGACGTTTGCAGCGAATGGTACGAAACAATATTTTGACGGGACGGAAAGAAAGTCCGACAGATTCCAAGCTATTTGTTACACCCCCGAGAGGCTGGTTAGAACTCAGGAATACAGGATTTTAACACCTTCTCCCCGTTATTTGTCTATCAGTCAGTCAAGAGTGACGCCAGAAAATGAAAATCGTTCAAAGACTTTCCGCAGCCGGCGGCGATTGAACTATCTTATCGACCCTAAACAACTTGGTGCGTATTTTCCTGTTTATAGGATAGCTTCGAGCACACGTTCGACATTTTGCGCACCGTGCAAACTTGTTTCGAGCCCGTCAGCCAACTTGAATATAACCCAAGCCATTGTGTTTGACCCAGTAAAAGTTTCGCGGTCTACCGATATGTGAAATCGGCTCGCTTCGTGCTCATTAAACGTGTACTTTCGTTTCAATGCCTGCACTCTTAACACCTTATCGACGAGTGACGCTGTTTTGCGTGGAACTCAATACCCTGGAACTCGTATTTATTCGAATTCCATTTATCCCGGCGAAGTTTCTCTTGATCCCTGGCTCTGTTGCTGAACTCGTTACAGGAAGCGTTTCGTCGGGTTGCGAGGACGTTTGTGCAAACCGAGTAAAAAAGTAGTCGAATTTCGTCGAATGCGAGAGTTTCACCCTTAAACGGTAAGGGGTCCATTGTAACCCAGACTTGACCTGGAGATAACAGTTTTGGCGCGGTGGCACATTTCATGAGTAGATTGTCAGATTTATTGTACAAGCGTTTTTCTAAAATAACGAGTTTTATTTTATATTTTTAGATAATTTAATTAGGCTTCACTTCTTTTAGTTTCTATGTTACCTTGTTAGATGTTTACCTAAATACCAAACTATATTTCCAAAGAACATTTTACAACATTTATAAAAAGCAACAAACTCAGCTGCTATTTCTTCGAGGCAATTAAGTGATCATTTAGCGCCTTATTTACAGTCGTATGCATGTACTTACGTGACTCGACTCGCAGTTAAGAAGAGTTAATCTCAGCAAGTTCATAATCCAACATAAGTTGGTTTAACGCTTTGAAAAATCGCGCAAAATTATGATCGCGTCCGTGTAACCGCGTTGTCGTAACAGTCTAGATAACAGGAAAGTTCAGCGGAGTTCAGCAAATTGGGCAATCGATAGAGCTCCGTTTAGATAAATCGAGTTTATATAAATGAACTTCCGTTCTGTTTGACCAAAAAACTTGACGTTCGATTAGGTGCAACAGTGGTGAATTCGGAAAAAGACGAGATGGCTTTATCGACGATCACCTGTCACGATTGGAAAATCAACCATGATCATTCGATGAAGAACAACAACGATCCCAAAATGGAAGATAAATGTCTGAACGGTGTAAATGGCAAGCAATCGATCACTCTACAAACAGCGGACGTCGTCAGCAAGAAGTCCAGCTACGAGAGGTTCAATGTCAGCTCGGAAGATGGTGAAAAAATGGGAAGCCATAGCTCTTTCTTGGAGGATGTTTCTAGCATACGAACCAGCGATTGGAGCACGGATTCGCACAATAATTCGCAAAATACTCCGCTGTGTCTCAGCGACGAGTTAGCCACGACGAGCTACAAGCTGGATACATCGCAGGTTTGAATTTTTATTTGTAGCTGCTTTTTCTTGTTTATGGACAGTAATTGCGGTTGGATTGACTGTGTGTTGTATTGTTAATTGGGTACATCTGGACAGTTACTGCAGGCTATTTATCGTCTGTATTTGTGTTGCGTCGGATAGTGTTGCTGTTCGATAATTACGCGCTTTCGGGGCTGTAGGGATAAAGCTTATTGGGTAATAGCTCATCATATTTACTCTGTTTTAAATATTTGTGAAAAATAGTGAAGCTAAGATGCTTAAAAATTTGCAAATATTGACATTCCTATTTGAGTTGAATTTTTTGTTCTATTTTACATTTCTGTAATTTATTTTGAATTTCTGTTTCTATTTCAAATTTTCTTTGTTGAACTTCAATGTTTTAAACTTGCTTCCAATATTTTTTCTTGAACTTCAATGTTTTAAATTTCTTTTCAAAGTTTCTTCTTGAACTTCAATGTTTTAAATTTGCTTTCAATGTTTTTTCTTGTACTTCAATGTTTTAAATTTGCTTTCAATGTTTTTTCTTGTACTTCAATGTTTTAAATTTCTTTTCAAAGTTTCACCTTGAACTTCAATGTTTTAAATTTGCTTTCAATGTTTTTTCTTGTACTTCAATGTTTTAAACTTGCTTTCAATGTTTTTTCTTGAACTTCTATGTTTTAAACTTGCTTTCAATGTTCTTTCTTGAACTTCAATGTTTTAAATTTGCTTTTAATGTTTTTTCTTGTACTTCAATGTTTTAAATTTGCTTTCAATGTTTTTTCTTGAACTCCAATATTTTAAACTTGTTTTCAATGTTTTTTCTTGAACTTCAATGTTTTAAACTTGCTTTCAATGTTCTTTCTTGAACTTCAATATTTTAAACTTCCTTCCAATATTTTTTCTTGAACTTAAATGTTTTAAAAATATGAAAATTTACAATTTAGAAATTTAAAAATTAAGAAATGTAGTAACATTGAATCATAGAAATTTCAAAATTTTCTAATTTGAAAATAAGCGAATAAAATGTTAAACAGTTAACACTATAAATTAACAATTAATGATAATATTCACCAGGAACGATGTACAGCTGTTAACGAGGTGGTTTCGATTCTCGAAGTGCTCGACAGAAACCCAGAAAAAGCAACGGTCCTTCTTGAAGAAGATCGTTTTTGTGAGAGTACTTCCTCGCACGATCAATTAACCAGGCTGGCCCTGACAATTGAAACGGATGCAAATGTGCCTGGAGTTCATGACCATCCGGACAAGCTGGTGAAACATCTCCGAAACAAGGTGGAGAGACTTCAAAGTAGCAGCAAGGATATTTACAAGGACATTCGTGATCTTCGGAAGAGCTTTCAGGTAATTAAGTGTCGATGTTTAATTATTGTTTCGAATTAAATTGTGATGTTATAAGGGAGTTAAGTTATTGTGAAGGCAAATCATTTTTAAAGTTAGAAATTTGAGAAGGTGAGGATTTAGTAATTTAGGAATTTGGGTAGTTGGGATTTAGCAGTTAGAGGAGTTTGGGAAGTTGGGGATTTAGTGGGTTAGGAATTTTGGAATTTAGTATTTTGAGCATTTGGGAATTTAGTAATTTAAGAATTTGGCAAGTTGGGACTTACTAGTTTAGGAATTTGGGAAGTTGGGGATTTACTAGTTTAGGAATTTGGGAAATTGGGGATTTACTAGTTTAGAAATTTGAGAATTTAGTATTTTGAGAATTTGGGAATTTAGTAATTCAAGAATTTGGCAAGTTGGGACTTACTAGTTTAGGAATTTGGGAAGTTGGGAATTTACTAGTTCAGAAATGTGAGAATTTAGTATTTTGGGAAGTTGGGAATTTAGTAGTTTAGAAATTTGGCAAGTTGGGATTTACTAGTTCTAGAATTTGGAAAATTGGGGATTTACTAGTTTAGAAATTTGGGAATTTAGTAATAATTTAGTAATATTTAGAATATTTATTAATACTCTAGAAATTTGGAAATTTGAAAATTCAGAAATTTTGTAATTTGGAGATTTGGAAGTTTCAAAATCTTTGAATTTGTTTATTTAGGAAATTATGGGATGTAGTAACGTGAAACCTTGAGGATATGTTAATCTGAAATTTTGAAAATTTAAAAACTTTGGATAGTTGAAAATTCGATAATTTGGAAATTCTTTAATTTAATAACATAGAAATCTAAAAGTCTAAAAATTACAAAAATGAAACGTTTGGAATGAAAAGTAATATCTTCCAAATTTTCAAGTATAAAATTTCACACGCAACAAAGCCTCATATGTGGAATACTCTACGCATTTTGCGTAATTCGTATTGATCCTGATTGCTGTTAATGGAGAAACGTAACTAAACAATGACCTTATTTATTTTGCGTAACTAATAAGTTTAATAATAATTATTTATTAATTATTAATATTGCCATATTCTTTCATGGAGGGATACAATTTATAATAGTAACTGATATTGTTATTATTAAATGAAATTTTTATTCATTAAAGTAAAAATTTGTACACACATTGATTCTTGATGAAAGTCGCAGTTTTCAAGAAATATCGTATTAACAAATTTCGTGAATTAAAATAAGGAATTTTGTTATATAAAAATGACAGGAAAAATTGTCATATAAAATTGTCAGTTGACCGCTTTGGTAATTTTAGTATTAAAACGTATTCTTCATAAAAACTTACATTTTTCACTTCACATCCACTTTCAGTAAAAAAGAATATTCTTATACAATTATCACTCGCACCAATTATTTAAAAAAATAACAAAAGTAGCCTTGCCTCTTTGAATATCTAAAATTCACTTTCTGACATGGAGAACATACTTCATCTCCTTGTATTCCAAACAAAACGTTCTTATTATTATTTTCCAGTACGATGAGCAGAAGATAACAAGCATCTCATCTAACGCGAATAAACTACGACAGGATGTTCAAGAATTACGGTATCTCGATGATCTATTAAATCTTCTTCGCGGAGAACTGGAGAGGATCTCAAGGATGAATTGGCCGTTCATTGTAGGACGTACAGAAGAACATCTTTCGGAGGAAATGAATCTTATCGTGTGAATGATACGAGTTCCTCGATTGTATTGGTACAAATTAATTGAAAAACAAAACTTTCGAGAATAATGTATCTTGTCACCCAAAGAAAACATTGTTTTAGGTATATTCGTAACAGAAACACGTTCAGTGTTTCACTGCCAATGTTTATATACGACAGCATGAAAATAGTTTTGTAAAAGAAATTACATATTCTATGATGTTGTCGTTGAAATTTTGAAGTAGGAATGTTTTCAAGGGTAATAGCAATACATTTCCCTACAGGGTATTTTAAAATAGTTGTACAACAGACATGGTGGAGTTTAATAGGGATAATGGCGATGTTGGGGATCTTGATGCTTTTGAGGGTACTCGAGAGTTAATTTGAGAACTGCGTGTATTTTAATGCGTTGTATTTCTGTGCGTTGTATTTCTGTGCGTTGAATTTCTATGCGTTGTATTTCAGCGCAATAGATACTTATATGCGTCGTATTTAGCGCATTGAATTTCTACGCGTTGTATTTTAGCGCATTGAACTTCTACGCGTTGTATTTCAGCGCATTACACTGCTATGCGTTGTATTTCAGCGCATTGAATTTCTATGCATTGTATTTCAGCGCATTGAATTTCTACGCGTTGTATTTTGATACATTACACTGCTATACGTTGTATTTCAGTGCATTGAATTTCTTCGCGTTACATTTCAGCGCATTAAATTTCTACGCGTTGTATTTCAGCGCGTTAAACTACTACGCGTTGTATTTCAGCGCATTGAATTGCTATGCGTTGTATTTCAGCGCATTGAACTTCTACGCGTTGTATTTCAGCGCATTACACTGCTACGCGTTGTATTTCAGAACATTGAATTGCCATGCGTTCTATTTCAACGCATTAAGCTACTACACGTTGTATTTCAGCGCAAATTTCTACGCATTGTATTTCAACGCATTGAATTTCTACGCGTTGTATTTTGACGCATTACACTGCTATGCGTTGTATTTCAGCGCACTGAATTTCTTCGCGTTGCATTTCAACGCATTAAATTTCTACGCGTTGTATTTCAGCGCGTTAAACTGCTACGCATTGTATTTCAGCGCATTGAACTTCTACGCGTTACATTTCAACGCATTGCATTTCTACGCGTTGTATTTCAGAACATTGAATTGCCATGCGTTCTATTTCAACGCATTAAGCTACTACACGTTGTATTTCAGCGCATTAAAATTCCACGCGGTGTACTTCAGCACATTACATTTCTACGCGTTGCATTTCAGCATATTACATTTCTACGCGTCATTTCAACGTGTGGTCTCACTACGCGTTGTATTCCTCCACATTACATTTCTACGCGTCATATTTCTATACATTACAACTCTTACGCGTGATACAGCTACGTATACTGCACGTCCACACGTTACACTTCACCGAATTAAACTTCTACGCTTTGTATTTCATTGCATTGCAAGTCTACACCGCTATATCGCTACAGGTGGTGTCACTACGTATTGTATTTATACAAATTACATCTCTATATATTATATCTTTCTATATTACTAATTCTACGCGTTATATCATTACGCATTGTATTTCATCGTATTGCATTTTTACGCATTACACTTTTCACGCGTTATATCGTCACATATATTTCAACGCATTAATTCTTCGCTTTGTATTTTCGCGCGCTATGTCATCATCTTTCAACACTTTATATCGTCATCTATTAAATGTTGATGTGTTGTATCATCACCCGTTACATTATAACGCGTTATGTCAACATCTATTAAATTTCGACGTGTTATATCGTCACCCATTATATTTCAACGTGTTGTAACATCATTTATTAAATTTCTATGTGTAATATCGTCACCCATTATATTTCAACGTGTTGTATCATCATTTATTAAATTTCTATGTGTAATATCATCACCCATTATATGTATTTCAACGTGTTATATCGTCATCTATTAAATATCGTCGTGTTATATCGTCACTTGTTATATTTCAAGGTGTTATATCAACATCTATATGAAATTTCTACGTATGATATCATCACCCGTTACATTTCCACGCATTATATCACCGCAAATTGTATTTCTACGCGCCGTACAACCTCATGTCTCTCGAGTATTATAATATAGAATACTACAGAGCGTCGTAACTCCCAAGTAATTATAATTATAATGAGTGACAAGATCTCCTGTCTCAACATCGCCATTTTCACTATAGAAGCTTTGCATGCTCGACAATATACACTGTAGAAACTATAAATTCTTCATGGCAAATGAAATCGAGAAGTTCTTCACTATTTTGTGATTTCTTGCTTCGTCCAAAAACAAAAAGTATAAAACAATTGAAAATTAGACATATTTCAGATTATTATTTGATTGTTAGTCTTCGAATGATAAAACAGGGTCAATTATGATCAAAATCTATAAAATTACGCAAGGATACTTTCATAAAAATTAAATAATGAATTTAACACTAAATTGAACTTTGTATTTAACACTCAAACTTTAACACTGAATTTTTCTAGCGAAAAATAGTGTCCTTTTAAAAAAAATTAAATATTAAAAAATAGAAAGGACAGAGAATTTAAAATTACAAAATTTCTCAGTGATCCGCCATTCGAAGGTAAATCACGTATATTTTAAAAACGAAGCAAAATATTCTAAAATACTGAAGTACTTTTCGATTAATTTTGCTATTCACAATTTTTCGACCAACAGAATTGTAATTTATGAAGTTGTTATACCTAAAATCCTCAAACCGTTGTTGAACAAACTGTTGCCAGTATTAGCGTTAGTATTAACCGTGGGATTTAATAAAAATGAATATTTACGAAAGCCACAATACAAATTCTAGTTTTATAGTTATTTTTTATGTTTCACTTTAAAACATCATGTAAAACTGTAATATTAATCTGTTTTTTTATGGTACTCATCTCTGAAACATTAGGTTAGTTAGATTAAATTAACATTAATGTTGCGGTTTGAAACGTTGAAACTTTCAATTTCTGCTAAAATTTGTTAAAAAAAATTGATGAAATGTCTCGAAGCACATTTACGTAAATTTTTACTGGACATCGTTCGTGTTTGTACTAAAGAAACATTTTGGAATGTTTCTGAAATATCAAAATTTATAAAACTGTGAATATTTAGATTATTGAAAGTTTGATATAGCTGAAAACAATTGTGTACCTTTATACATGTGATACCCTCTTTATAAACATATTCCGAATGTTATAATCCAAACGTTTTGAAAAATATATATTTTAGAATTCTGTTTTGTACCGCAATTTGCAACTATTTTTATTCCAAAAATAAAAGGAAATATATGTTTCAGGAAAATCACTGGAACAAGTCGATTGTGTTTAGAGCATTTATTTTCCACTGTAAAAACATGTTCTTCGCAATCGCAATTCTTTTAATCATAAAGGAACATTTTTATTTCTTTATTTATCAATAAAAGTCATATCATTTATTTATTTATACTTTCATCGTCGTTGATAAAAAATTAATTATCAGCTAATGTGTTTAAATAAATTATATCTGAAAATTTTGTTTGTTATTTTAACACATTTCGCACCGTTATCAAGTTTTTTTATGGTAAACTCGTTATATTGCCACGTGTAGTAAAATGGTAAATTTTTTGGAATTGACAATATATTGAATCTTGTAAACAAGTTTTTTGGGATAATATGTGGAATTCTGAAGATGGCAATATAACGAAATTGTACATATTTTGATTCAAGATTTTTGAAGAATTGGTATGAGGAATGGAAAAAAATTTTTCTCTAGTGTAAAATTCAAGAATTTGGAAATTTTGAAAATCGATAATTTCAAATTTTGAAATTTAAAGTCTAAGAGATTTGATTTTTTAAAAAATTGAGGACTTCAAATTTTAAAAGTTAGGAATTTGGGAATTTGAGGATTTAGCACTTTAGAAATTTAGAAGTTTAATAATTTAAAAATTTCGTAATTTAGAAATTTGGAGATTTGGAAGTTTACGTACTTGAAATCTTAGATGTTTCATAATTGGAGATTTGGAAATTTTGTAATTCGAGAGTTTCGCTATTTAGTAATATGGAAACTTAAAAATTGGTTAATCTGGAAATTTGGGATTTAAAGATTCTAAATTCTTAAACTTTCAAATACCTCAATTCTTAAATTCCCAAATATTTAAATGCTCCATATTTCTTAATTTTCAAATATCTAAGTTGCTAAATTCACAAATACTTCAATTTACAAATTTCCAAATCCTTAAATCTCCACATTTACAAATTTTCAAATTCTACAAATTTCTCCATTTTCAAATACCTCAATTCTCAAATTTCTAATTACCTAAATTGCCAAATTCTCAAATTTACAAATACCTCAATTCTCAAATTCCGAAATATTAAAATTCTCCAAATTTCTCAATTACCAAATTCCTAATTTACCAAATCTCCACCTTTAAAATATCCAAACTCAAAAACCGCAAGATTTATAATCCAGCGCTAATCCCATCAAACTCTACTAATCACTAAACCAGACTATCCATAACCTATACATTCGATTAATTGATTGATTGATTTTATATGGGCCTCGACTGCTACGACCATTGTCCCCACCTACACACTCAAATAATAACATTTAAAAAATAAGTAACCAGCGCGAAACATGTTAATCAAAACCGAATTAATTTTAAGTACCACGGTAGTTAACGCGTTAAGTAACATCGCTACGGTGTGTTTGTTTATGATGATGCCTGGAGGAGTCGTGATAAGCGATGTCTGCTCGCAGCATTTCGCTGTGTCGGAACACATCGCGTGGAGAGGAAAGAGAAGGCAAAGTCGGTAACGAAGGTAACAAACAGCTTAACATGTTGGAATTACCGTCCGACGAATAAATTCCGTTAGTGGCGGATGCAATGGAAGCTGTGCAGGAAGTTGCAGCAGCCAGCGCTGAACTTGCTCCTTGATCACCAGCTCCCGGAATACTTGCAGATCCCATCAAGCTTCCTGAATACAAATGTACAACAGTAACGATTATACGATTAGCAGTTTGTTCTTGTCGGGAAAAATTTTGGGAGAAATCGTTTAACTAATGGTGCTTAATTGTACCACGTTTTAATTGTGAACCGTTTTAGTTCACGAAAGAATTCATCACTAATGTTTCATATCGAGTGGAGTATGAGTGGAGTATAGAGTGTGATAGTTCGATAATTTGTTGTTTTAGAGAGGCAAGGTTTTTATAACGTATTGTGATGTCAAGTTGGATACTGAATAAAAATTGGATATGGAACAGTAGGTAGACATTTGAAAAATATAAATTGGGTTAAGGACATAATTTAGAGATTAAATACAGTTTGTTAACATGTAAGAGATATTTAACTTTGAAAATTTGAAGAAACTTAAACTAGTATACTAACAGGTGTTAGTATTCTACTGCGACCTAAGCTTTACCCTTTAATTGCATCAATCATTCCTCTTCGTATGGTTCAAGGCTTTTTAACCATTCACCTGCAAGACTGACATTCGATGCGTTGGTCAACGAGGCAATGGACAGGGACGTTAACGTGGAAAAGTCTGTATTCTCGGCAGCTTTTGATTGATCCGTCCTCGCTACGTGAGGTTGACAAATAGATGCGAAGGCTGATCGAATGAGATCGTTATTTCTATCTGTTCGTCGATGTCTCGTGTTCGTGCCGGATTTATTATTGCTACCGAGCCCAAAGTGTAGGAGCTCTAAGTGTCTCCTCAAATTTCGTGATTGACGCAAAATCGCACCGCACAGTGGACAAGAGGCTGGTTGATCGGACATGCTTCGTGATTTGCACTGACCGTCTCCTAGAATTAATTCCGTCAAATCTAGACACGTTCAAATACAGCTCGTCATGATGATCCGTTATCTGTAATCGAATAGGTTTCTCTTTATATTCGCAATGTTTCAACAATCACAGAAATAATTATAGAGATCAGGCATGAACAAGTGGCTATCGATCTACGTTTCATTATTATTCTGAGTTTGCAAGTTTAAAAATTAAACTTTAAACTTATGAATTTCAACCTGAATTTCAACTTTAGGAATCATTGAAAAATATCTAAATTATCATGATTTTTCAAGTTTGAAATTTCTTAATCCCAAGTTAGCGAATTCTCAAATTTCCCAATTTCTAAAATTCTTAAATTTCAAATGGTCAAATTCTCAAACCCTGTTACCACTCAATTTTCCAACTTTCGAAGGAATTTCTAAATTTCCAGAAACTGAAATTGTCATATGTTTGAGTGTCAAATGTAAGAGTACAAATTCCCAAATTGACATTTGTATATTTCCAAATTTCAGAATTCCTAAAGACCTATTACTAAGTTTTCAAATATTCAAAAATTTACAAATCTGTACAAATTTTGAAATTTACAAATTTTTCGAGATTGCAAATAAAAAGAAATGTTAGTAATGTAACGAGAGTCTACTGTACCTATGAAAGCCTCTATAAGTACATAAATCACACGATATCATGTAGAGTAGTGACTTGCAAGCTGATTTGTAGAGGTATGGGCTGACTGATGATAGAACGACAGTCCATCTGATAAGAGAGATCGTATAGCTGTCAGCGGGCGGCACTTGGTCATACCTGATGTAAATGATACTCACAAAAGTGACTCAAATATATATAATGTATAGTAACTTCTTTTATTAATACGAGTATAAAGTTCTATAATAAAATAAATGTCTACTACCCTATCGATTTCAACTTGATTGATTAGGTATACTATCATCGACGCAATTAAGATTTTGTCTAAAATGTAAATGCATGCCAGTGAAGACGATTAATCCTAGAGAAATGAATCAATCGTATAAATTAGGAACCTGAATTTCCGCCAATTATCACAACACGGGTATCTCGATAAACGTAAATGAGAAACATTTGATTTCTTCTTTTTTATTGGAATTATTCCAGGGAACGTATAATCGACAGAAATTCGAATTCTACTTACATACGTACATGTATAATGTTAAAATATCGAGTCAATATTTTATTCACAGAAGAAATGAAAAATAAGCTACAAATATAGATTTGTAATTCGTTAAGTTTATATAAAACTGATGGTACAGAGTTATTGCGTAGGTGTGTGATATCGAAAATTCCGAATTTTTGAATAATTACTATGCCTAATTATTCATCGACTGCTATACCCATTAACCCTAAAATACTGCTCTTACTTACTAACGTGGAAGATTTTTGTATACTTTAACTTAACTTCAGAATTTTCCTCGGATCATTTTTATCTGAGTCGGTAAAAAAACAGATAAGAAAATGGAAACAAAATAAATTATACAGACATGTAACAACCAATTCATTCTGACAAATTTTATGAAACAATGTCAGTCGATGGCAGACAATACAAACAATAGTTTAAACATATATTCATATAAGTACATTAAAACGGTAAGTAAAAAAAAGAGAGGAATTGCGAATTCTTAAATTAAAAACGTGATATACAAAGATGAAACAAATCTGCAAATAAACCAAGGTATCTCTCGAATCACAATAACAGAATCGAACGATCCTGTGCCTGTCTTTGCTTTCGGTATGTTGCTGTACATTCATCTAGCGATGGTCGGTGACGGGATGTTGTTTTGAGGCGAAACAACATTCGACCCGTGCGATGTCGGCGAAGGAAGCGGGCTGGGTTTACAAATAATTTGTTCACAGGTACTATTTCCACTATCAGTTCCATACGTAACAGGCTGTTCGCTGTAATTGGACAACTCGACTTCAGGCTTTATTTCTATCATCATTGCATCGACCGGGGAACTCTGAATCGAATTATTACTAAACCGATATTTGCAAGACGATAAAAGGTGTCTCCGTAGATTTCTCGCTTGCCGCAACGTAGCACCGCAGAGCGGACAAACGCCTGGACAATCTGATGCACCACGTATTTTAGCCAAACTCATATTCCCGGTAATTCCACTGGACGCCGTTCCCGCTGTCGTACCCTGGGTAACTAGTGGGAGCGGTATACCGGGAGGAAAGCCCATATTAAGAGGACCAGGAAATTGCGGTATTTGTAGCGGAGAATATGGCTGCATTGGCATTAATGTATGAAGATGCGTTTCACTTTCCGACATTTGATCCTGATGCTGTCCTGCTTGAACACTTTCGGACGACACTGGCTGCGCTTCTTGAGCACGTGGCGAATGACAACCCCGATGATTCGAATATTCCAACCGATCGTTCGCTGCTAACAGACACAAACACAACATTACCATGCAGGGCTGAACTGATATTTGGGTCTGAAATTTTTGAATTGCAACGAAATCAATTAGATGCAGTTCAACCCAATTGATGGTTGTGCTTGTGTCCGTTCTAATGTAGGTAAAATTCTTGGAAAGAACTTTGAATATTGATGGATCATACTCCAAAATTATATTAATATTGTGATAAAAATAATACATCGGACACAAAACACAAGTAGCATTGTATATTTGTTTTTGTTCAAATTTTTTTACTAAATCAGTTATTCAATGTACAGAATAATGAAAACGATAGAAGATGTTTAATGTATACTTCGTAAATCGATATAAAAACACACCTAAATTAAATAATTGTAAGTTTATCTTATGTAAATAATCTATGATACTAAAACTGAAACATGTATTTCTAAACTTCCAACAGTTTTATTAAATTAAACAAGTAAAATAAACATAAAATATAACCCTATATATATCTTTTAAGTATTTCTTACCTGTATCGTCACCGTGTTCTGTATTGTCTTCATCTTTATGATCATATCCACTTGATCGATTATCACTTCCATCTACAGGCCTATTTTCACTATCAGTAGTATTAGAGGTACGTGGCCATTTTCCTGAAGAAGAGGATGACTTTCTTCTTTTCTTCTTTCGTTTCAATGGAAAATATGGATTATGTGTTTCCTTGGATAAAGCTTCATTTGCTGTTGGTATTGCTGATATAGGTACCTCTTCTCCATTCTGTATAAAATAAAATTTTAAATTATCGTATTATAATATCAATAGATACGTAGATTTCATCTACAAATTTTATTTAAAAAAACATACTTCAGTTAATATAGTAGGTGGTGTTAATCCATGAATACAAAGGCAATGAGCAGCTTGAAGTAACGAAGGTAATTGGGATGGTTCCACACTAACTTCACCACGATATACAAATTCCAATAATGATTCCAAATCATCTGCACCTATTCCAGCTAACATAACCACAGGGTGCTGACATGGTGTACTCTGTTAATATAAATAAATTATAATGCATTATCATATATACAATCGACGATCTTAGTAAAAAACAAATACATGTTATATCTATGTCAACATTTTACACAGCAACGACTTAGCAAGAATATATACTTTTTATGTACATTTATGGTATTGCGGCATGTGTTTTTTGCCACTAGGCCACTCAATTATGTATATTTTGAAAAGAAATCTTATAACCTTTAATAAGTCCAATAGGAAAGGACTAGCTGCACAAAGAACTATTTTATGTGCAGGAAAACTGCGTCCACCAGCAGCCAAAGTAACATCGACCAAATCTCCATGCCCTCTTAACAATTGCACTGCAGAAGCCAATGATGAACTAAATTCTCCCCAGGAGAGACTATATAGTTGGCCACTGCTTCCCATTCTAAATAACAAATTAACATGATTTAAAGGTGATAATGATATAGTAACAGTAACATAGTAAACTGGTGTCTCCATATTGTTATAATAGAATTATACAATGTGTAATACTTTAGAAAGAACTTAAAAATCCAACATACACGAATTTATTTAACACAACAGCGTACAGAAACGAAGTTAATAAAGATTCGAGAAAATTGACCACTAACGGTAACGATACGTTCTTGTCTCCCCCAACCACATTCTCTTAATTAGTGCCCCCACCTCGAAAAATATGATCTCGGCGTCGTCTTAGAGTTAACCTAGCAAAAACTTGTACTCCCAAAAAAAAAAATAGTTGAAGTATCAACGAAAAATATCATAAATATTATTGTTTATACATTGAAAATAAACAACATTAAACTGAAAAAATGGGGCACTGAAGCGCTGTATTTAATAGATAATAACTCACATCGTTAGAAGATTATTCGCTATATAAATTGTGCGTTAAATTAACGGCAATATGTTTAAATTCGTTGTCGTACGAAATAGGAACAAAAGTAATAGTTACAGATTTGTAACTTTGTTTTATGATCGCCTTCTTAGACCAAACAGACGCAGAACTCGAAAAATGAAATTCAAATGCTGTCAGAAATTATCATGCACGTCACATTTTATAAGATTGTGCTGCCCTCGTATTACCTTTAAAAAAACAGTTTAAGAATTTTGGCGGTAATTATGCGAAAGTGGAATATAAACACTTTAATGTCACTGTTATTTATAAGTATTTATATAATTTGTTCAATATATGTTCTTTATTATAATTCAAACTTGAGCCTGGACTTAGGAGCTTACAATAAATAGAAACAATTCTTTCTCTGATATAAATAGAAAAAACATTTTATCAGTTATATTGAATATTTATACAAACAAATGTAACTTTTAGAAACATTCAAAATACTTCATTTATTCAGTTCGAAATAACTTTGAAGAAGTTCGTACATTAATGTCAATAATGTCCTGTGAAAATAGTAAACTACACATAAATAATAACATTAAACAGACTGTAGAGGAAGAAGTTATAAAAGCATTAAAAAATGAGGGTATTAAAACCGCTATAATATGCTTAATTTATTTAGTATTACTTAATTCAATTATTCAATGAAAAGAATTAAACAATAACATTACATTTTTTATCACTAGAATATACTTTAAATACAGTAAATAGCTATGGAGAAAATTTATTACACGTTAGTGCAGCAAATGGTTGCCTTGATATAGTAAAAGAAATTTTACAAAAATGGAATAACTGTGGTGTTATAGACAGAAAAAATAAATTTGGTTGGACACCACTGATGTTAGCAATTCGTAATGGAGATACTAAAATAGTGAAATTTCTTTTAAAAGAAAATGTTAATATAAATGAATCAACCTATCTTGGTGAGTGAATTTATTTAATGAATAAGTAAAATTATAACTTACTTTCTATATTTTAGGTATATCAGTTCTTGGATTAGCTGCTGCTATCAATAAAGATATGTTTGAAATTGTATATGAAGCATGTCCATCAGCATTATCTAATTCTATAAATGATGATATTAATCCACTTTGTATTGCTGCTATGAAAAATGATAAGGATTTGTTTTTCAGATTGTTAGATATAGGTTTTGAAGTTTCTAAGAGCAGTAAAGTAGCATTTGTTTTTACACTCAATACAAACTTAATAAATTATTTATATATAAATAATAAATTTATTTATAGATGAATATACTCAAATTATGATGAAACAGTCAACAGTACCTGAAATAAGAAATTTAGCCAAAAGACAGCTTGAGATAGAAAATTATTGGAATGATGTTTCAGATAACATTCCTGTAGAACAAAATATTGGAACTAAATGTACTGTTAAGAATTACTGCAAGAACAATAATCTATTATCTCCAAATATCCATATTAATCCAATTTTTTCACCTCAATCAGTAAAACATGGTACTAATGAAGATACAATGAAAGAATGTAATAATAATATAAGAGTGAATTCAAACAAACACTTGAAACCTTTAAAATTAATATTAGAGCACTCAGAATGTGCTCCACATAGCATAATTTCACCAACTTTAACTTGTGCTCTTAGTGAGATGTTACCACAATCTCCAAATATATATTTTATGGAAAATAAACATGACGAAAAAATTGATTTTAATGTAATGACTAATATAGAAAAAGAACATTCATCAAAAAATAAAGGTACCATGACAACATGTTCAAAAAATAATGACTTATCTGAACCATGTTTGCGAAGGTACACTGATGTATATATATTAATATTTATATATGTTGATAAAGTATATTTTAATCAAATAACTATGCTAATTATTTATAAAGATTACAGTCCATTTGCCCACCAAATTTAAATATTCAAAGTGAGCCAGAAGATCTTGATACTACTCTTGGATACGTACCTGAATTTAGCCCACTTCGTTCACCAAATGTACCACCAGATATAAATGATGAAAATGTATTTGGAGAAAGTACACCAACTCCTCCACATTATAAAACACCTCCAAGAGGAATGATTTTAAATTCAGAAGAAACAAAAATGTTTGTTTTATTGGAACAGTATGGATTAAGCCAACACTTTCCCTTATTTATTGAACAAGAAGTAAGTATATTATATTGTCATTTTCAATTGTGAGAAATACAAAATTGCTTATTTCAACTTTTATATGTTTTATTTTAGATAGATATTAATTTATTTTTAACTCTTACTAATGATGATTTAATTGAAATTGGTATAGAAAATAAATCAGACAGAAAAATTATTTTAAATGTTATAACAGAGTGTAAGAAATCGCTGATGGAGGAATGTGTGAATTGTTATTGGTAATGATGTGTTTTTAATATATTTATTATGCATTTTATCTCTTCTGTATATAGTATAATATTTAAAATAAAATAATATTAATCAATATGAACAATGTAAATGAAAGAATAATAAACTTTATTTTTTAATATTTGATACATAAGTTAATTTTAAATATTTTGTGATAAGTATATATACATGTTAATATATATAATGTTATATTTTTCTACTTTAGTTCTGAAAGTATCTTTATAGTTACATACGAAATTTATGTAAAACTTGTGTGTTTTTTATATGAGACAATATTTTATTGATAAGTTCAGTTTTCGTTTCTTTTGGTTTATGAGGAATTGAATGTTGTTGTAGCCAATTACTTAACACATTATTGTGTAATTGATGTAACTGATTATTTCTTGCCATTGCTTCTATATTAACATTCTCATCCTGTTGAATGAAATATATAATAAGTCAAATATCATTTATACTTAGAGATGTCAAATTAAAAAAATGCAGTTGCTTACAATTTCTAGTGTGGATTTTTGAATTTCATCTGATTCATTAGATTTAGCTTTTAATAATTTTTCTTTTAATGATAACTGTTTCTGTTTTTCTTGCTGTATTGACCAATATAAAAATAAAATAAAATGATAAGAAATATATAAGATGAAAGAGATTTCATCTTGTATACAAGATTTATATATTATATAAATAGACAATGAAACATAAACATACCTCTGCTGTGTTAGAGTAATCTGGTTTTTGAATTGGAAAATATTTGGAAATTGCTATCTCCTTTGATAAAGTAAAATTATCATTTAGTTCTTTTGATACAATACTTTTAATACAGAGTTTCTTTTTAGCAGGCAACACTGAAATTTGATTAGTACTTGACAATTGAATTTCTACACAATTTAACTAATTATTAAATCTTTATAACTTGTTTGTAAATATAAACTTGTGTTAATACCATTTTGATGTTCATCAGTATTTTCAATGTTTAAAGTGTTTGCATCTTCACCAACAGGTATATTATGAAGTTGATGAATCATAGCTAAATGTGTTTTTAATGATGTAGAAACCCTATTGGAATTTTTTGTTAATTCATTTACATATTTTGCAGAAAATTCTAATTGTGCACTTGAAGTAATATTATTTTTTGGTGAATGTGCATTTAATTCTGTATTTTTTAATAATGTATCAACTAAAGAACTTGTATTTCCCAATGTCTATAGAGAATGAAATATTAGAGAAACATGTGTATTTTAGGACATATAGTAAGTCATATTATTATTAACTTACAGTATTAAATGGAGTATTTTTAGATACTTTTAATTGTGTATTACAAACTACAGGTAATTTTATAAGCATATCAGATAAAAACTGAGTAATTGTAGGTTCTTTATCTCTGTTTGGAATAATATCTACAGGACCACTTATTATACATAAACTAGGATAAATAAAAATATTCGATTTCGGCATTAAAAATTTAATTTCGTAATATAAAATTCCATCCTTATTTTTTGGTAAAGAATAGCCATACTGAAACAATATTTATGAGAAAAAATCTGGAAACTTGTTTACTTGTTAAAAAAGAAAAATTACATAAATATTTGTACCATGTTTTTCCAATGTCTCCGTAACTGATCATAATCTTTAAAAGGATATTTTGATGGAATTTCTTTAAATACCGATAATAATTTACCTTTCTTGGTGCTAAATAAAAATTTTCAACATTACTTGTTTATAACAAATTAAATAAAAATTAATATACAACTTAATACACAGTGAAATAAAATTAATTTTACCTAGGTAAAACATATATAAATGGAAAATTATAAAGTGATAAGTTAATGTATCCCTTAGGATCTGCTAGAAATTGTGAAATAACAGATGATGGAAGATAATCTTCAAGTTTAATGTATGAAATTTTTATTCTTTCTGCATAAAGTTTTAAACATACGTTCGTATCTAAAAGTTATAAAATATTAACTTTTATTGTTAAATGTATTTTTAAGTAACAATAAACAATAATTTTTATGATACCCTCTGTAAGAATATCTAATTGCAATGCTTTAGCTCCTCCTATGAAGTTATAAAATTCTTTGCCCTGAACAAAAAATTCACCAACTTTGTTCCATAAAGGAGCTATCTTAGTTTGTATTGTATAAATAAGACAAGATTTGTAAACTATGTCATTAACCGGCCGTAATCCTCGATACTGATAAAAGAAACCAGCACAATAATTTAAAAACCAATTTATTATTTTAATGAATTGTTGAAATAAATAAAACGAACCACTAATTTAAAATTTCTTAAAATTCTCTCCAATTTTCCTGTATCAAAGAATTTTTTATTCGCAATAACGAATATTAATGTTTCTGTACCTGATACCGGTGAAGCAATTACGTCAGAAATTAAATGAATAAGCAGTCTAAAATCAAATAAATATGTGACATAAGTAAAAGTAAAAATAAAATCAATAATATAAAAAAAGACGTAATTATAATACTTACCGACATTTCATTGTTTTCCAGTGAAAATTCGATTTAGATGATGAGTCTCGAACTTCAATAAAATCAATTTCACAAATTGCGCAACGCAAATCATTCATTGACGGAAACGAAGTATATACAATTGTATCTTTCTTGGTATCGCACATAATGTTATAAATATTGATTATTTAAGTATATATTTTATTGTTCTTATTTCATTTATTATTGAATTTTTGAATTCAAATCGCACGAATAACCAACATCCAAAAACTAAAAAATTTTTCAAACTGTTTGCATGTTTCTGCACAATGTATTAACCAAGTATGGATTCAGATATAAATTTAAAAATTCATAGGCTTTAAGTTTCAATTTTTGTATATAAAATTATAATTAAAATTGTTTATTTATGAACAACCGTTAAAATTTTTAATCTAGGGAATTTAAGAGATGACACTTGGCTATCCTATCTGAATGGTATATATAAGCGAAGCTCACGGCATTTCACATCACTTTGTGTAGTTATTGTGTCGTATTTTGTACGCTTCTCTGTTTTTTGGTTTTTGTAAAATATTGTCTAACTTGCGTTGCAAATATTTTCTTGTAAATTGTTCGAACGTATGTAAGTATACATTATTTACTTATTTTGTGCTTAAACATAAAATCGTGAGAAATATACATTCAGAAACAATGAATACTTCTTGCTGTTTCATTAATTATCCACCATCTTTCTCAACGAATTTTATAAGTAAATCAATAATATTATAAGAATACGTAATATAGAATAAAATTATAAATACGTCAGTTTATACAACAATTCTTAATTCAATTTATATACTGTTGAATGCATAACAAAATAAAACAGTTATAATATATTTTACGTAGGTATAAGGATTTCTCGAAATTTCTGGACGACCCCATTTTGTTGTACCTTTGTATTGTGGACTCATCCACAAATTCTACTGTAAAAATGCGTTTAGTGCAACAATTGAATAAAAATATTTAGATAAAAGTAATAAAATAGATTCAAATTATAAAATGAAACCAACATTTTTTTCTAATATAATACAGACAAATATAAACTACAAATATTAAATAATAACGTTAAACACATTGATTGCTGTGTACGAATATTCAATTCATCAGAATGTTGCATAATTATTTAGTATGCGTACTTCTAAAATGCGAATATAAAATATATATTTAGTTTCAAATAGAATTCTTTGTCTTATCAAATGAGGTAAAACTATTGCCGTTATCCTTATTATATCTTATTGCTTCACTTTTATGAACACAAAACCAATCAAAATATTGACATAAGTCTATTGTTGTTAATAGATTAAGCTAAGTATTGTCTGCTTATTGAAGATATAGTATATTCATTTTTATCCTTTCATTATTTCCAGCTTATTAGATCTTCAAATATGCAGATCTTTGTCAAGACACTTACAGGGAAGACCATCACCCTGGAAGTCGAAGCTTCAGATACGATAGAGAATGTCAAGGCGAAGATCCAGGACAAAGAGGGAATCCCTCCAGACCAGCAACGATTAATCTTTGCAGGGAAGCAGCTCGAAGATGGAAGGACACTGTCAGATTATAACATTCAAAAAGAATCCACACTTCATCTGGTTCTAAGACTTCGAGGAGGAATGCAAATCTTCGTGAAGACACTCACAGGGAAAACCATCACTCTGGAAGTCGAAGCTTCTGACACAATTGAAAATGTAAAGGCGAAGATCCAGGACAAAGAGGGAATCCCTCCAGACCAGCAACGATTAATCTTTGCAGGGAAGCAGCTCGAAGATGGAAGGACACTGTCAGATTATAACATTCAAAAAGAATCCACACTTCATCTGGTTCTAAGACTTCGAGGAGGAATGCAAATCTTCGTCAAGACTCTCACAGGAAAAACCATCACCCTGGAAGTCGAAGCTTCTGACACAATTGAAAATGTAAAGGCGAAGATCCAGGACAAAGAGGGAATCCCTCCAGACCAGCAACGATTAATCTTTGCAGGGAAGCAGCTCGAAGATGGAAGGACACTGTCAGATTATAACATTCAAAAAGAATCCACACTTCATCTGGTTCTAAGACTTCGAGGAGGAATGCAAATCTTCGTCAAGACTCTCACAGGAAAAACCATCACCCTGGAAGTCGAAGCTTCTGACACAATTGAAAATGTAAAGGCGAAGATCCAGGACAAAGAGGGAATCCCTCCAGACCAGCAACGATTAATCTTTGCAGGGAAGCAGCTCGAAGATGGAAGGACACTGTCAGATTATAACATTCAAAAAGAATCCACACTTCATCTGGTTCTAAGACTTCGAGGAGGAATGCAAATCTTCGTGAAGACTCTCACAGGGAAAACTATCACCCTAGAAGTGGAAGCCTCAGACACAATAGAGAATGTCAAAGCTAAGATCCAAGACAAAGAAGGAATTCCTCCAGACCAGCAACGATTAATCTTTGCAGGGAAGCAGCTCGAAGATGGAAGGACACTGTCAGATTATAACATTCAAAAAGAATCCACACTTCATCTGGTTCTAAGACTTCGAGGAGGAATGCAAATCTTTGTCAAGACACTCACAGGGAAAACCATCACCCTGGAAGTCGAAGCTTCTGACACAATTGAAAATGTAAAGGC